GAACTGATCCCAAGGGGTATCTACTATCTGATGGGCCATTATAACGACAGTATTTTGGCCACCAAGAACTTTTGGTTTCTAGAAGAAGTCCTTGTTGAACGTTATTGAAGTCCACAGGAAGTAGTAATTTTCAGCGTTTATATCCTGTATGTAGTAATTAATAGAACGTTGTTTAATGACAGCTGTGGAATGTATTCTGTTGGAACTGTCCACGGAGTGCTGATGAGGTCGAAATAGCAATCCGAGTTCGGCGGTTTCGACAAGATTCCTAAAATTTATATTGAAAAACTTACAGTTAGTAAGAGACACCTCAAGTAACTTACAATAAAACCAAGCCAGAAAACTAAAATGCAGTGTTTACATGGAATGCTTGTTACTTAATTGCATGGGATTGTAAATGATAAGAGAGGGTTGTAGTTTTGCGTAATACAGATACAAACTACACAGGAGCAAACAGTGAAGTTCAAATATTATTCTAAGTTTCTTTTTCCTATTCTTCCAAATAAGTGAGTGCAGCCACAACTCAATATCTTTAGTGAACACTGCCAATTCATTATGCAAATATTATAGGTAACTCATAATTCTAATCAAAACAATAAAAAACTACCAATTTAGTTGGTTGTGTAACCACTTATTGTGCAACTGCAATGAATTATAGTTAATTAGTTAATATCAGCCCAAATTTGTCAATGTGCTTTAGTCTTTTCGTTGTATTCAGTTGTCTATATTTTTATATTCTTTTTTAATTGGAATTTTGAATTTATTGTTTTGCTTGTGCAAATTTTTCTTATGGATTTTTTGGCTTGAATTGGCCTCAGTTTTTAAAATGACCCAACAAAACCCGCCAAAAGTTTTCAGAAGCAATCGTATGCTCATTCATTGGCCTTTCTTCTATGTATATTTTGTTGCCTTTATTTCGATGTCTGCTCTGTTTTCTATTTCAAAAAGATTGTCATTCCCAATGGGATCAAATTCTGCATCTATAGGTAGGTACCGTACAATATTGTAGACTGGAGCGCAATATTTCGTCGAAATTGAGACAAACAAGAGAAAATAATGCTGTAAACAGAAAACTACTTCAATTTGCAATTCCGAGTGGAGCTTTCGACAATTTGAGCGTGCAATACTTTGCGAAATGGGTAGCGTTCATCACGATCCCGTATCGTATTGTAACGTATCATGGCGTAAAGCGAATTCCCAGCGGACAATGCATAAATAAGTGCAACTCACTTTATTTTAGAATCCCGACCGAGTAAACCGTATGTTCTTCTAGCCTCAGCCTGCCATTGTTTATCAGCGTCGCTAGACGAACAATGAAACAACTTGAACAGTTGGTGTGCGCCGCGATGGCAGTGTCACCGACAAAACGACCAGAGTTACAAACACTATGTCAGGAAACTCACAAACTGCTTCTTTATGGACTGTTACCATTAATTTACACTGAAGAACAAAAGCGCCATAAGTTATCCTTATCTATCTGCCGCTTCGCGCCCTGCTTCACGAAGTTGCTGTGAAATTATGAGTAATGCACGGATATCATCCCCAAAGAAATAAAGTGGTAAAATTATTTAAAGGTTCTCTCTATATATGGGATATCCCAAGAAACGGACGAACGTAGTAGATCTCATCTCATCATTGTTTAACGGTTTTTTGATGGTTTCGACTAACTTAACCTAAAATTTGATCTCCAGGAGCAACTTTTGTTGATGACCTCTTCAGGCAATAATTTTAATTACACTGATTGGTTACATGTAGTCAATAAATTAAAACTGTTTGAGAACTGTAGGTACATGTATAGAGGAGAGTAACTAAATGTGGGCTAGTGCTTTAATATGGGCTAGTAACAATTTTCGAAAACCTACAATCGAAAGACGCAACAAACGACGATCGTCTATCGCATTCATTCGCTCTAACATCGCATTCACTCAATCTCGTCAATTGCGTGCGATTTGTCGCCTGTGTTGGCTATGCTTGTGTTGCTACTGTCGAAAAATTTTCTGCGATACATATCAATGTGTTCTTTAATTAATGAAAATTAGGTCTAAATACTGTAACTATGTGTTTTATTGCAGAATATAAGTTTAATTTTATGATTTTCGGTCGATTTATTGCCTGCTGTATATCATTTGTAAAGTATATTATAATATTAAGAACATAAGATTGTTACTTAGTTCATTAAAAATGTATGTGTGATCATTTTGACGTCAATAAATGGTTAATTTTTTAATATTTTTTTATTTTTGAGACAAAAACAAAATGGTAGCCCATATTTGGTTACTCTCCTCTAGTGGATTTAAACCCATAAAAAGAGTTGCGAATTTCTCGGTTTCGCGTTGCCGGTTAAGCCAATAAGGGAATCAGGTTTTTCTCCGACGAGCATCAAATGGATTTCCGAAATATCCGCCTTTAAATTCTACCGCGGTAGGTAACGTGTAACGCACACTTTCCGTTTTCTTCGTGGTAATTCAATCGGCTTGTTTGCGAACAGCTTTAGAAAACGCCGCGCTCGGAATATTAAAAGCCATCGGTTCCGTATCATCCTATATCAATCCTATACATGCATCCATTGGATTGGTCGTCGATATTGAAGATGTTTCGAAATCATTACATCTCTACTGACTTAATAAGTTAGTATGTACATATGTACAAACACAAAAGTAAACACATATTCGATGCTCGACGAAAACTCCTATAGATTATGGTCACGTGTGCTGGCTGCATTTTCACAAGAGGTTCTGAGTAAAATCTATAATCTGTTGAAGATATTTACATATTGAGAGTTATCCAAAGGTGGTTTCCTTTGTTGCAAATTGCAAGGATTTTACTATCAATAAATTATTCTTGCACTTTAACCTAACCTTTAATCCTTGTTTACCCTTCAAGAATAAATCCATAATGGGCAACCTTATTAATGTATATAGGTACGTTAGAGTGTCGATCGACATTTATTTAATCTGTAGTCACCCTTGCAAGGAAATCAGACGTTCTTTAGTCCTTAAGCAGTCGAAGGAAGCTTTTTTTCCACCTCGCTTTCGTCCTCCTCAAGAAAAAATTATATGCTCATACAGTATAACTTAATGAATTAACTTTAGAAATTTAGTTTTCTACTTTTTTTTTCTCTATCTCCATCACCAACGAAGATGTCATCACAGAAGAACATCCCTCACCGAGCTGTACGCTTTATTCTGACAGTCTAAGTAAAGCACACAGGGTCCCCCTCTTTTAACCTAGAAGAAGACTAACAAGGCACAACCGTTGATTTCTCTGCATTTATTACATTATTAGAAGTCAGATAACATAGCAATGAGTTTCATCACAATCTGTTTGTTTGTTTGTTCTTATCGAATTAATTTATTGAATGTTTTTCCAGTTTTATTAAAATTGTAATTGGCCATACGATTGGAATGGAAATTTCGTGTTTTTTTAGTTGTCATCCAATTTTTCAATGTCAACAGAATCGTACACGTTTTGTCGCGAGAACGTGTGGCATGTCAATCGATCGCGTCGGCCTGTTGGGGACGGGGGAGCGACCCGGTCCCGACGTAGAAATTAAATTAAACACGAATGCGACAGTTAATGCGTCCTGACATTTGTGCATTTCAGTGATGATCATACGCCCGCACGGCCGTCCAATTTGCGGCGATCATTCCACAGCATCGAAATACATCCACAAACGCACACACGTACACCCTCATACATATATGTACATACATTTTAAGCTAGTACATGTCGGGGTCTGGCGACTAGTTGAATGATATAGCGGTGGATGATCCACCAAGCGGACTGTCCAGTGGGATCGTTTGTCGCATTGTGAGTTATTTTAATTTCCAAGGGACGTGGAACATTGATCCGGAAACTCCGATTGCAATGAATAGTGAATACCGTTAATACTTTTTATTGAAATAGCATTTTTCGTTAAAATGAGTGACGCTATTTTGAGCATTTCCTGAAAAGGAAAAGACCCCTTTCATCATCATAAGGTCGTCAGTCCTAAGACTGGTTGGACACGCACCTCCACTTTTTCCTATCCTGCGCTAATCTTCACATTTTCCTGAAACTAGAATATCCCACATCCTTAACTATTTGCGAACAGTAATCTAATCTAGGCCTAACTTCCGTTTCTGCCTCTAATATGTCTCTGACTAGACCTTCATACCTGAGAAGGTGTCCTAGTAACCTATCTCGTCTATTTCTTATTGACTTCCATGGAGTTCTTTTTTCTCCTATTCCTTCTAATTCCTTCTCTATCCACGGTATCCTCATCATTCATCTGTAACATCACATTTCGAACACTTCTAACTTTTTCTTTTTCGCCGCGCCCACCGTCCATGTTTCGCACCTTCTTCGAAAATGTAAACTAATCGTTCGGGAGCATAGAAGTGACTTCGTTTTATTAAAGGCGACTCGATCCTGTGCTATCCTCTGCTTTATATCCCTACTACTCCTTCCGTCCTGTTTTGTCTTCCTTCCTAGCTACCTATAATCTACCACTTCTAATTTTTGGTCTCCTGTCTTTATATTCGCTCTTTTCGTACTTCTTCTTCCCTTACATACCAGTATTTTTGTTTTGCTTTTATAAATTTTCATACAGTACATACCACTTCCATTTTGCCGCCTCCTTGCTAGGTGCTAATGCTGCTATTTCATCTGCAAATCTAATCATACTAATCTTAAGGATATTAATTCAAATTGATCAACTACTGTAAAAAATAACTTCACAAACTTGTCAGCTCCGAACTATATCAATATTTTGTCAATAGTTACTGCATCTTCACATTGAAACCGGATCCGAATTCAGGTTTGACTTTTTTTCTTAAATTCCGTCTTATCTACCCTTTACAAAAATAAATACATATGTACATGGACAATATAATAAAGTTTTATTTGTACTATAATATACATATTATATAATTTCCACTTAGTTTTGATTATATAGTTAACTTTTAATTTTTAAAAATTAATATTATGGATAGTAATATTTTTATTATTTTTTGTTACAGTCCAAGCAACACAGCCTTAAGCTCGCTGGAGCAGGTAAGGGATTACCTGCTGACGGAGGGCACGTGCAAGTGTGGTTTGGAGTGCCCACTTAAGTACGATACCGTCTTTAACTTCGATCCCAAGGTAAGATAGAGATTATTTAGACAAACTCTGGATTATTTTTTATCGATACTTGCTACCTTCACTTTTCTTTTGTTTTCTCAATCGTCACAGTATCAACAGAAAGCAAAAAGGCAAACTCTTGAACAGACGTTTCGATGTTGTTTTTAAATAAATTTTAAAAATTAATGTAGTAGGTACTTGTCCCTATAGTTACGTCATGGGACATGATAGCCATTTTAATAGTTATGCTAAGATAATATGCATCTACGTATATCAATTATAAACTAGAGAAAACTGTTTTTGTATTTAAACTTAAAAATTAGTACTGAAGCGGTATCCCTGAAAGTTTTAATGAACGTAATAGGTAACTCTAATTCTTCAGTATTAGTTTATACCAGACCTAATCCCTTTGCCCCTGGTCCAATTATAAATCTAAGTAATTTTTGATTTTCTCATCACATTGTAGCCTGTTATTGTATACCGAGTAACACTACAAAATTAAAAGTCTGCCATTGATAAATCCTGTCTGCAGTAGAGTCTGAGAAAGTCTTTGATAAAACTATCAAAATGGAACGTGTCGAGCAACTAGTAACCAAAAATACTTGCGTTTAGATAAGATAAAGGTAAATTTCTTGCGAGACTCCTTACAATGGATGAGTCCTTGATCCATCGTTACGATGTAGAGACCAAAATACAGAGTATGAAATGGACGCAATGGGGCTCACCACCGCCGAAGATGCAACCATCAGAGGGGAAAGTAATATTATCCGTTTTGTACGATTCCGAAGGTGTAATTTCGATAGATTTCCTCCAGAAATAGGTCACAATTACATGTGTTTATTATGACAATTTAATTACGCCAGTTGATAAAAAAAATGATGGGGAACTTACGTATAGATGTTCTTTTACATCAGGATAGTGCACCCAATCAAACTTCTTCCATTGTAAAAGCTGCAATAGGTAAGGCATCCGTCATGTTCGCCAGATTTGCCTCCTAGCGGTTATCAACAGTTTCCAAATATTAAAAAATCCTAGCAGTGGTTTTGAAATAGAAGAATATCTTTTCTGAGACTTGTTAAAATGTTAGAACATGGTAAAAAAGTGTTCGCCTTAATGGACGCTATGTTAAAAAATCAATTTAATTTGTTTTTTAAATAAGTTAAGGGCGTAGCAAAGGGACCAGGTCTTGTATATTTGAATCTCGTAAGTGGAAATTAAGAGCACTGAAACTAATAAAACTTAGCACGGGATTGTTTTGTGAGAAACAGCTTTTAGCACGAAGAATAATTTATCAAGTAAGGCCACTTTCTTCTGTCGACAATGGCAATTACCTTTCGTCAAGAATCGTTCAACGGAATTAGTTTATCTTCCCATTAGCAGTCCGCCCGTTTTCGCCAAAGTCCTAATCCATTTATTCTTACAGAACGAAGGGACCTCGGCGAGCACCAGCAGTTAGTTGCTTGGCTAACAACATTAGCCATTTTGCTTCGTGCTTTCCTCCTCTGGCATCTCTCTCATGAACTTGCCTGGCGGCAAATTGAGTTGTCGACAAGATGCGTGCTAAACGTTAATTGATTATTGTTGCCGCGGTGGCCCCGACATTGTTGTTTTTTCTTTATTCACTAATGATCGTCCTCCTCCCGTTCTAACTTGAGGCTACATATTCCTTCTCGATCCGCCTTATACTTCCATTGTCCCATTGGATTAGACAGCCTTTAATTAAACGCAAAACGGAACAATTGTTTACGCATGAGGTCCCCGTGGGAGTGCCGCAGTCTTCTTATTAGTGCTGTGTGTTTTGTATGGCCCTTTGGGACTAAAAAGTTATTTACTTGCTATCGCCATGACCTCTTTCTACTAAGAGCAATTTCTTCAGTATTTCGAAAATGATTACGAACGAAATCCTTGGCGTGAGGGTCAATACAGGGTCGATGAAATTTGGAACAATGCATCCTAAGTTAATTTTCAAATGCAGAAATGTACAACTGTACTCATAACTTTGTTAAATGCTGGGTGGTTCATATAGGTACGAGGGCACATTTTTAAGTTTGGAAGGGAGATTTATTAATGAAGGTAGTTGTTAAGTCCTATCGAATTAATTGATTTATTATTAGATGGTATAAATACCAAGATTAATCGTCTTTGAACGATCATCGATCAAGCATCTCAATCAAAGTTTCTTACCAATCGAGGAAAATCTTGTCAAATCATACTAAAAGAAATGAAATCTGTTTATGGAGACTCTTGCCCGGGTAAAACCGTGGTTTACAAGTGGCACAAGCTCTTTAAACAAGGCAGATTCTTATTTGAAGACAACTCACGGCCAGGATGATGAATGTACTTAACCGCTCCGGAAATTATTCGGAAACTTTAAAAATTATTATTGAAAAATGCTCGATTAAAGAAAAAACAGCTCTCAGATATGATTAGAGCATCCGATATAACCATTTCTAAAATTCTTCACAATTATTTTAGCATGACTAACGTACCTAGAATGCTCATACAACTGCAAAAACAATAGCTCGTAGTGTTCTCGTGCCTTTATTGTACCTCTGTAGTGAAGACGAAGATGGTGTTTTGAGTTCAATTGTTACTGGGGAGGAAATGTGGGTTCAACATTGTATACACTATCCAAATGTCACAGTCGATCGAAAAAATCATGACGGCCTTTTTGTGGGATTCAGCAAAAATCCTATTAATCAATTACAAAAAGGCTTTTCCTTAACCGAAAAATACTACATTGCAATTCTAGAACATTTTAAGTCATCAAGAAAAGGAGAAGAACTAAATTGACAAAAGGTGACTGACTCCCTTGTGGACGACAATGCACCCGTTCACCAGAGTCTTGTTGCGTTAGCTGCTCTGCATAAAATGAGCTTCTATATTCTAGATCACCCACCCTACAGCACTGACCTGGCTCTCAGGGATTATTATTTAAGTATTTCCATGAAAAAAGAACGTAAGAAGAAATTTTCAAGCTATAAAAAGAAAAGACAAAACATTTTATTTTTTTCGAAGATTTACCCGAATCAATTGAAAAATCTGAAAAATGTTTTAAGGTAACAGGTGAATATCTTCAGAAAAAAATTAATAAATTTGTATTTTTATATTCACTCCCCCATTCCGCAAACTTAAACTCGTTCCCTCGTAAAATACACTGCAAGCCTTTAAAATTCAATACTCTACCCATTTTCTATCAGCATTTTGTGCCAATTATGCGACAAAACTTCTTTTAAAAATTGCATTCGTAACTCGTATACATCCAATTTGGGACTGATAAGAAAGGAAAGAAGCGAGTTCAATTATAATACTCTCGTTTCTTCAGATCAGATTATTTCTATTCCGTGGTACGCCACTTTGCTCGAGAAACGGTTGCAATAAAAGCGTACTAACTGTCAAATTATGAAATAACTGGCTTTCTTATCTCGTACAAAACGACTAGGGGCGAACCCCGAGCAGGATAATAAACGGGCCGGTCTCGTCGCGACACCGTCGTACCCCCTCGCACTATATGTCGTGCTCGCCGATCTACGTAAAAGGATAAGAGAGCGCAGTAAAATTGTTTTTCTTACTCGTAAACGAAACGTTACTTTTTTTAACTGTCGGCTATTTATAACGTTTTTATGGCGGTAATAGAGTTTAGGTAACAGAAGCTTGTATAAAAAAAGCACGCGAACAAATTTTATTGAAAGTTTTGGCAAAATTGATTGATCAAAAATGATATATTTGAATATAAGCATTTGTACATGTGAAATAACAAATAGAAGCGGCAGTAAATGTTTATATTATAATAAAATAAAATAAACTATTTTGCAATATTATATAGAGTAGTTTATCATTTTCGTCTCCAGGGCGCTCTTGGGTTTTGTGGGTCTCCTCCTTCGTCACCGAAAAAAATACATCGTTCCTACCATTCATATAAGACTAACTGCTTTTAAGATGGTCGNTAGAAGCGGCAGTAAATGTTTATATTATAATAAAATAAAATAACATACTAAAGAGGGATTAATTGAACTTTCCCTCTATATGAAACAGCAAAAATTTTGCCGCATGCCCATGGTTCTTTGCAAAAATATCTGTGTGAGCGAATGCCGTAGGCGATCGATACAGGTGCAGCTTTTGGTCTACCGGAAAGCTGGCAGTCATTGATCAGAATATATACAGCAAGCTTGACTGGCACGGTAAAACGAACTTACGGGAAGTTTCCGGAAACTCAGGATGTTGTAAATGAAAAAAGGTTGCTATAGCCCTTCTAAAAAATGGCTAGATATTAATAAAATAAAATAAACTATTTTGCAATATTATATAGAGTAGTTTATCATTTTCGTCTCCAGGGCGCTCTTGGGTTTTGTGGGTCTCCTCCTTCGTCACCGAAAAAAATACATCGTTCCTACCATTCATATAAGACTAACTGCTTTTAAGATGGTCGAAGTCTGATAGTTTTTCAGTTGAAGCTTTTATTCCTTCTCTGGTTTTTAATACTTGAAATACTGCTTAATCGAAACTTTTAAATTACAATGAATGTATAATATTCCAAATAAAAAAAGAATGAGTACCATTTACACTTATTTTACGTAGAAAGATATCCAAACAAATTCCCTGTTTTTTCCTTGAGGTTGTTCCCTTAAGTCTCTGAGTTTGAGCCACCCTTACTTTTCAGACAGCGGACAACCAACCCTGCTGTTAAACTGTAGATTATTAATTTTTGTTATTTTAAGACTGCTTTGCATTTATCTAAAAATTAAACAATGAAAATCAGATAGAATACAGCATTTTCCGAAAACAATTTAGCGTTTATGGTAATAATAAGAGCAAAAAGCTAATAAAGGCAGGAATGAGGAAGCGGCATTTATTTCTTGTTGACGTAAACGATCCATCGAGAAAACAACATTATCTGCAGCTTAACCGACCTGGGGCGACAACAGCAGGGGCGGAGGCGCTAGTGCTGCCTTCTATATTTGGAAGAAAGACAGGAAACGTTGTAATTTAATAATATACCTGCAAGTGGATTCTCGACGAGG